AGCAGTGTGTTCCATGCACGGTGTCGCACGGTGAGACGGGGCCCACCTTCTGTGGCCCCGCGTCAGCGGTTAACATTTTGGCGGGCAAAGCCCCGGCCTTTGGAAATTTGAATTTGAATTCGAATTCGAATTCCAAAGGTGGGGTTTTTGCATGCCGTTGGCGTCATCAGGCAGCCGAAGTTGGTGGAGTGATTGCACGTGAAGGCACCTGTGACGACGTTGCCGCGCACGTGGGTGGTTCCTCCCCTTGGGCTTCGGTCATGCAAGCCTTCTCCAACCTCCATCGCCGCGCATTGCCGTGGAGGTCCGCTTGCCGTCGCCTTCATGCAGCAGCACGCGAGGTCGTCGTCGGTGACAGACGACAGAGTGACTTCCAGGAGCACTGCCAATCCCTCCCTGATCGAGGTGTGCCCGGTCATTGGCTGTCGTCCTTCCGTCAACGAAGCCAGGCCATAGCGGCGGGTGTGTCTGCAGTCAACGCTCCAAACTTCGTGCGTGCCATCCGGCCGACATGGATAGGGAGTTCTTCGAGGAGCCTGAGCTTGCTATGTCGACGAGCCGAAAGCGCGTGGCCTCCAACGACTTTTCATGCACGGTTGAGGCCCGTTGGGGACGTCGTGGGACGGCCGACACAACAGCTCATTAACGCACAACGTGGGGGGACATCTGTGCATCCTTTCCACGTGCCATCTCCAGTGCTACCGAGTGCTGCCGAAGAATGCAACTGTTGCGACGGTGGAAGATGGCCGACGACATCACCGTGAGGCCCAATAGTTGTCGTCTTCCAGGGCTGCAACAACAACGGTCGGGGCTGCGACCGTTGCATTCTGAGCGTTGTGTTTTGGGGAGCGACCATAATCGTGGCATTGCTGATTGCTTTCTGCATCGTCGTAACGGTTGTGATCTGCTTCACTGCCGTTGTCATCACTGTGTTCCTAACTAGGCGGTAGATCGATGGAGGGACAAAGTTTTACGTCCGACCTGTTCAGGGATGTCGGTGCATCCATGCACGACACTGACGAGGTTTGGGCTAGAGACGTTCAGCGCCATGGACATATGCACGGGGCAGGGCCTCCACCGATGACGTGGCCCGTCATGGCAGCTCATGGTTCCTACATGCTTCGTTCGGAGCAGGCAGACAAAGGCAGACAGCACAACGCGACTTTCGCGGGCATGGGCACACATGAGTCGTTATGCGTGGGCGGCCGTGGAGGTTTCCTGGGGCGAGAAACGTACATGCAGACTGCACAGGGGACATCAAACAACAGTGACAGGTCGATCCAATCCTAGCAGTCGTGCGGAGGCGCATCAACGAACGTTGTCAGTGCTAGGGGTGCTGCCAGGGACTACGAAGACGTGGCACACACGCAGCGAACGAGTGCGATACCGCTGCCACAGGCAAGGCATGCGCATAGGACGGCCACAGCGGGACAGACAGCTGTGCCTGATCGTGCTTCGCGACCGCAACATGTGGCAGGGGGGGGGGGGGGGGGGGGGGTGCGGCAGTAAATGACACCTGGTCATGGTGTCGCAGTTCCAGGCGGGGTGAGTGCCCGACAATCGCCGACACGTCAGCAACGACAGCAAAAGGTAGCGATGGGCGAAGACCGGGGCTCAGGGGTGGCTACCGTAATACGGGAATACGCATCCCGGACGGGGAGGAGGGAAGGTAGACAGGCGGGGAGTGCGAATGCCATGAGTGACATGGCCGGTGATTGTTCGCCCAGCATGGCGGGTGTGAGTTCGGATGGCGCGGGCGAAGGGTTGGCGGCGGGCTTCGATGGGGAGAACTCCGACTCCGATGGTGATGAAGGACCGGCAGCCGATTCGTCGACGAACCCAGGTGGAGGTGCACATGGTCGGACCACCGCGAGACCTGCATGTGGTACTCGGAAGAAGGGGGGGAAGTCTACAACCCAACCCAAGAAGAGCAACCTATGGACTCTGGAAGAGCAAATAGCCCTGGCGAGGATCAGCGGCGAGGATGACGCCCTCATGGCCGATGCGGAGGGCGCTCATCAGCACATGACAAGGACAAGGAGGTATGAGTGGATCGCGGACCGCCTGGCGGACCTGGGTTATTCGAGGACAGGGGGAGGATTGTAGGAAGAAGTGGGCAGAGTTCCAGAAGAAGGTGAGGGAGATTCGTGGCGCCTGCAGTGGCTCCGGCAAGCCGGGGTACTTCGACATCACTACGGAGGAGAGGAAGACATTGGGGATACCCCTGACATTTGAGAAGCCGTTGTGGGACGCCATGAAGTGGTACCGAGAGAAGGCTTCCTTCAATTGCGACAATATGATGGCGTCGGAGGACTTGAGGGGGACAAGATCGAGAGGATCAGCGAGCGAGGCAGGTTCCGAAGGTGGGGAGACAGAACCCACCGAGAGTGCAGCGAAGACAAGGCGGACCGCAACTGGAAAAGTTTGGGGAGGCGAGTCATCGTCCTACATGTTCGGCATGGCTTCGGTGATGGAGGAATCCACGCAGTCTCTCTGCGAGGGCCTAGACAAGGCTGCCGGGAACATGGCACGTGCCACGACAGAAGGTGCTGCGCTCATGGCAGCGAAGATGGGAGATATGGCGACAAAGATCGGGGCTGTAGCGGGGGCGATGCGGCAAGGGAATAGTGTGTTGGAGATGCTGGTCGGGGTGATGGTAGATAGAGGGTCAGGGACTGGGCGGGTGGCCGACGACAGTCAGGACACAGACCCGTCGACGAAGTAGGGCATTGCGGGTCGTCGATTTCGAACCCGTCGTTAACCGCCCCTGTTTTTCCGGAATGTGGTCCCGCGAAACCCATCCCTGGCATCCCATGCACACCATCGGCAGACAAGGACAACATAATTGAGAAAAAAATAAAAAAAATCAGGACAGTTATTTTCGGATGACCTAGGATGGGGGATGTGCCACGAGTACCTGTGTCGGGCTAGTTATTCCGGGGGCAGCTGGCACCCGCGCGCTTCTATATAAAGCGTGTTGGCAGTCCATGTCCATAGGAGCCCTGCATTCTCACCGCGCTCGTGTGTGGGAGATTCCTGCGTTGCCGCTCCCGGTGGAGAGAGAGAGAGAGAGAGAGAGAGAGAGAGAGAGAGAGAGAGAGAGAGAGAGATGGAACTCGCATGGAGGGAGATTGTGTGTGGCGAGGCGATCATGTATTGGGAAGATCGTCGTCGGCGGGACGGGTACGTTCATCACGACCCGCCGTTTGGGGACGAGATCACTCACCGGCCGTACCGTTTCTATTCGGTCGACGTCAACGGGCAGGCCGCTGTCGACATCGACGCCGCCTTGGGCTTCAACAAGCGTCTCCTCTCTCATGTCGTGTTGTACGTGACGAAGACTGGATCCATTGTTCCGGACAATTGGACACACCTGCAGGTAGACATCATCGTTAACCTCATCCGGAACTTGGCGATAGAGCACGCTTCGCTGTTGGATAACGGAGCGTTTTATTACATGTTCCTCGAGAAGCTGCTCGCCGGTCGCAGGTACCTTCACGACGAGGTCCGTGCGTAGCTTCGGGTGCGTGTTCTGATTGCTGTCATCGATGGATCGGGGTTTTGTTTTGTGGTCGGAGTGGCACGTGAGATCGGGGATTTTGGTGCATGGATGACTTTTTCATTTTTGCAAGGGCGGGTGCGTACTTGCTGGAGTGGCGGAACATTACAGTGCGTCCCTGCGTACACTCGTGGGGGAGAAGGTTTATCACCCCCTTCGTTTTTGTGCAACGAAGATTTGGATGGGGTCATTTGCTATGTGTGTGCACGATCGATGGGTGGCAATGGACTGTGAAGACTAAGGGGCGGTGAACTAGCGAGCGCGGTTCAAATAACGGAGCGTAGGGGATGTGTCGCACTCCGTCTTCGTGTCCGTCTGTCAGGTGTTCGGTGTCCACGTGTCCAGTCGCCATTGGAGGACGTAGTGGTGTGATGATGTTCTCTCGCCGGTGTCATGAAAGTCGTATTGTTGTTTTCATTGAATGGAATACATGCTCGACCGTGGGCCGTCGGTTCAACAGCGTTTGTGACTGGATGTCTGTATGTGTGCGTGGCAGCGGGAGAGCTACTCCCTTCACATGAATTTCATTAATCTCGAACTCACATTTGTCGATCAATGCGTGCATGTGTTTTTTGCTGTTTTTTGTTGGAGTTCGTCGATCACACATGCATTTGTTGACATGTTTATAATTAGCTTATGTACTCTATTTTATTATTTGTTATTAATCGATTATTCCTTCTATTCTTTGTATTCTATTCTATTACTTTATTTCATTTCCAATTCCACATCACTTATAATTTGTATATGCATATCGATAAACAGTTGGGAGAGAGAGAGAGAGAGAGAGAGAGAGAGAGAGAGA